TCTGCTTAGTTATTTATTTGTTGCACACAACAACAGCCAGAACAAATGGCCTACAATAACACGCAAAGTGAAATGAACAGAGATTTGTGGCCACTGGTGCATCCTACAACTTTTTTCTGGAGGACTAATGACCGTTTAAATATAGCTTTCCAAGGAAGTCCAGATTAAATATAGCCTTCCAAAGAAATCCACACTAAGCCACTAAGTGTGATGCCAGTGCTGCTTAACCAAGAGTAGACCACTGTAGGTAATGGTTAATGGTTCTCACTTAACTACATAGTGACTAATTTTCTCAGTTTCAGACAACCACAATAGTGCTAGTGTGGTGAGAAAATACCATAATCACTTATCTTTCTGCTCATTTCTCAGGATCAGAGAGGAAGAAAAGATTATTTGAATGCTTACCTTACATCTCTGTAATTTTCCCTTTATCACAGAGCTGAGTAACTTTCTACCCCCGAGGACTGGGACTGTAGATGTGGGCTGCAGTTGGCACAGACAAGATGGAAATGGCCAGGGATACCCATATATCCTACTTGTTACAACTTGTCAGTATCGCTATTAGAATAGCAGTCTCTTCCTCAAGCTGCACAGAGGGTAGCCAACCATGGAAGCAAACCTGGGAAGCACGTCAGCTGTTCATCGATAAAGACTGCGAGCAGAGGCTGAGAATGGTGACAACAGGTAATTTGAGAGTCCTGGAGATGAACAGGGAGATGACCCAGTAGAGGATGGGAAGAATGAGCTGGCTGAAACAGATGATCTGGGTCTTCTCCATATGCAGTTTAAGGTGATGGGAATATATCCAAGAGGAAAAGCTAGCAGAACATTCTACCACAAGTCACTATGCATTTTCATAAAAGGCCCCAAAAGTCCCCCAGTGACAGCCCTGAACATTACTGTACCAGCATAGCAATTATACTGAAAACCTTGACTGTAAATCAGGACACTCAAGAAGACAATGCAAAGAGTAAATAAAATAGCATCCAGAATTGATCCCTGAAGGAACCTGTTATAAGGAGAAATTCTGAGGACAGTAATCTGCCATGTAATATTGCAAAACAAATCAAAAAACAAAAAAACAAAAAACAAAAACCCAAACTCCACCAAGATGACACAAAGGATTTGACCTAATCAAGTGTACCACCAGTGATGCCCAGGGACCATAACCTAGACCAGTGTTTTTCAACCTTGGTGACTTTAAGATGTGTGGACTTCAACTCCTAGAATTCCCCAGCCAGCATGGGAACTCTGGGAGTTGGAGCCCACACATCTTAAAGTTGCCAAGATTGAAAAACCCTGACTTAGACAGTAATACCTGATGCTCAAGGATATAAAATACTGCTATTTGGTCCCAAATGGGCAGAACTGATGCAATGGGACTTGGCTACCAAAACACCATTCAGGATTGGAGGAAGTACCAGGCTAATCACTTGGGCACAAAGAGGGATCTAAGGAGGGTTCCGTTAACAAAGGATGAAGAAGAACGTGTGTATAAGAATCTGGAAAGACTCCAGTGGTTAAAGAACAGTTCATCAGCTGGTAATACAGAACAGGAATAAATGGAAGAAGGCAAAAGGGAAGGAAGAATGAGCAGAGGATGTAATATTAAGAAGAGACTTCCATATTGTTGAACCTCTTATCTGAAATAGGGATAAATTCAAATGCAGAGGGAGTAGAAGACATAGAAAGGATAAAAGACAGCTAGTGGAAGAAAAAGAATGAATACTCATCATTTGTAATGGGAAGCTTGCACAGGATTGGTGGATTGGGCCCTGCTGGTTCCTGGGAGTGTCTCTTTAAGCCAATGTTTCTCAACTTTGGCAACTTTAAGACATGTGGACTTCAACTCCCAGAATTCCCCAGCCAGCTTATTCTGGGAGTTGAAGTCCATGTGTCTTAAAGTTGCCAAGGTTGAGAAACACTGCTCTAAACCCTCTGCTACAACCCTACTGCACTCTCCCCATCATTGCTGGAAAGAGCAGACCCAACAATGCTGCCCCAAGCCCAATTTACTCTAGAGGAAGTCCTGTCTCTTACTAGTTTACTCAGGAGAAGGCCAATGGCAATCCTCTTTCCTTCAGTAGCTTGACCTGGAGGGAAGCATACATGCTCTAAGTGTGTCCTTTCTTGAGAATGAGCCTCCCTGATTCACTAAGGATTCATGTCTTTATTAGGTATAACAAGGTCAAGGAAGAAAGGGAGCTGAAAGGCACAAGGAGAAAGAAGAACAAAGGAGAAGAAATGAATATTTATTTCTGATGAGGTTGATTTCAGCCAGCTGCTCCCTTGGCCCAGGATCTCTCACAACATACTCACAACACATACATGCATGCACACAGAGAATCATGTCCCACGGAGAGATCACCATCCTTAAAATAAAATCTCTAACCTTAGGTTGCTATATAAATCCATGATCTCCAACTAGGATTTCTATGGGAGGGGGCTTCTTTTCTTACATGGCTTCTAGCCAGCCCCAGGGAATTGCTGTGATGGGAATAAAGACAAAAGCAAAACAGAGCTACCCTTTTCCTCTTTAAGAAACCCTGCTCCTGTTTGGCTCTCCAGCTTTCCATTCTCCTGGGCTTGTCTCTTCCTGCTCTTTGGACTGACAGGTTAGCCAGTTTTTCTTTAACTCTATGAGGTATGGTGGGGAGAATTGATTGTTGGCCCAATTTAGCTTAAGGTAAAAGGTACAGTCAACTTGACTTTGGCTGACTTCATAGACAAGTCCATGCAGTCTTCCTGGCAACAATATGGAAGTGATTTTCCACTGCCTCCTTTTGGGATTTTTAAAAAAATTCCCAGTCTTCCCTACAGCCCTGGAATGTCCTGGTGATCTCACGTGTAAGTCTTAAACAGGCCTGACTCAGCTTAGCTTTCAGGGCTAGACAAGGTTACTGAATAGTTAGCCTAAGGAGGGTGGGCAAAGAGTCACTCAACTCTTAAATCTCCATTGTTTAGAAAAGCATTCCCTGAAGTGAAGGCCTTCATCCTTAAAAGAATAAGGCAGAAGGAAGAAGGTCCATTTTTCCAATATCTCTCAACTCTCTGCACTGTGAAGTTATCCAAATTTGTTGGACTATTACAACTGTGAAGATCTGGGGAACACCCCTTTTCCAAGAGGGAGGTGCATTTGTGTGCGCATGTGACTTTCCAGTTTATTTTTTCTAATCCTTCACATCACAGGGAGTACCTTCCCACAATTTTCATCCAACATGGCCCGTGACCTACATCAGCTGGGAACTGTGATCTATCTGGAAGGCAATAAATTGGGGCCAACTGGAGTTAAGTATAGAAGGTTGGTCAGGAAATGGCAAAAACTGAAGGTGAGAAGACATATGCTATACACCAAGAAGTGCCAGTTCAATATACAGTATCACCGCCTAGAAAGGAACAAAGAAAAAGTTTTTTTTCCCTGCCAACTGCAGCCAACATCCTTGAACTTAAGGAGAAATAGTTCAACCAGGTAAAAGGCAGCTTTAAGTGGTCAATTTTTCCATATAAATCGAGAGCAAGCAACCTCAGAGTACACCCCCACATTATGATGGCACAATTTCCAAAAAATCAGTGGCACAGCTCCCACCATTTTGAGGTAGGAAATATATTAAAATAAAATTGTGTAAGCCTTAAAATAAGGCTTAATAAAATATCACACACACACACACCAGGAGATCCCAACTTCATTCACATGCATTATATGGCTCTGCATATACAATCCAAAGATGATAACCTCTGCTTTAAGGAATGCACCTTGTTGTTTAAACACCTTCCAATAAACACATATGACATAACACAGATAGAAGATGTGCATTATCTTCTAGCAGTCCTTTCAACAAGGTTCCTTCCATTTATTCTAGCCACCTTCTAAACCTGGTTCCTTCCATGCATTTGGGTCATCTTCTCAACTTGGTTCCTTCTGGGTATTTTAGCTGCCTTTTCAGCTTGGTTAGTTTTGGATTTGTTGACTGGAACTTCTAGATACTATGGAAGAAAATCCAATGCATTTGAAGAGAACCAAAACAGAAAGGCTGTTTGGCACATTTTGCAGGAGGCCAACACCATGCAAAATGAGAAAAATCTTTCCAAAATGTATTATTTTTGCCTCAGATCCCCTGGGAAAGAAAAGCCCTAGCAGATAACAAGCAAGGAAAAGCACATTAACAATCTTGTCCCTAAAGGGCTCTTAATTATGGAAGTGGAAGTCTAGTGCATCTGTAAGAGGCACCTGGTTGCAAAAGCCTGTCCTATAAATTTCTAACTTCAATAGGTAACAGTAAATTGTATCTGACAGAGAAGAAAAAGTCTCAACAACAAGACAAGCCTGCATGTGAAAGAGGTCAGGCAGAGGACATTCCACATTGCATCACAACTGTATTGTGGCAACTCCTTTTAAATGAAGCTTGACACAGGGAGAAGATGGTTGATTGTACTTTGATGCAAACCCCACTTGGATTTGTTCTAGCTGCTATCAGTTAAGATGGGATTGCTTTGGATCTACCAAAAAAGATCACCAAAAGAGTCTGCCTTGCTATCGTGAACTGAGAGTTGGTTGAAGAGATCTTGGATTCATTCATAGTCAGTGAACATTGAAAGAAACAAAATTGAAAATTGAAAAATGGGAGCAATAATCTTGGTAAGGCCAATGCTGGAAGGTGGTGTTGAGGGCTCTCTGGTGCTTTGCATTAGTATCCATAGCAGTGTTTCTCCACCATGGCAGCTTGAAGATGGGTGGACTTCAACTCCCAGAATTCCCCAGCCAGCACAGCTGGCTGGGGAATTCTGGGAGTTGAAG